GGTTTAGGGTTTAGGGAGTTTGGAGTGTCAGGGTAACGGTACAGTGCTGAAGGGTCATCAGACACAGATCTTCCCTACATGCGAAAGCCTGGACTTCGTTGTAAGGGCCTGAATAGATAGAAAAAGGGTTCGGGGCACAGCATAGTACAATCATAACGAGGAACCCCCCAAAAAAAGTATGGGTAATTATTGAGACCCCTATATTAACCTAGCGCGTTGCAGTGTAGTGTATTTGTCGATATGTGAGTGATGTAGGGGCCTTAATAATTAGGTTAGGGTTTGGGGGCTCCTTCTTAGAATTATAGTATGATATGCCCCCAAACCCTATTCTAACTATTAAGGCCCCTATAAGTGCCATACCCCTAGAACTGAAGACAACCCTCGCTCGGCAGCACCTCTGCCTTCTGCGGCTTCGTGTTTCTATCGGTTGAGGGTTTACTTGCCCAAGGGTCCTGAGTACCTGTATGGAAACATGTAGGGTTTCTATACTAGGCCTCACTATGATTTGGGAAAGTATCCCCCCTAACGGTACCTAGAACCCTATAGGCAAGCTCCATAAATTTGCACACGCTCCTTGCAAGAACGAATCAGGAGCCTAGCTGATCGCTGAAGGGTCTGGGATTTCGGGGTTTGGGGTTTCAGGTGTACATAAGGTTGATATGAAGTTTAGGTGGTGTAAAACCCGAAACCCTAAAAGAGCCCAGATTTTAAACCCTATGCTCTATAACCAGGAGCCACCCCTAAACCCTAAACCCTTATCCCGGGCCTGCAAACTGCATGGGATAGCCGAAAAGTGTCGAAAGCCCCACAGCAGCGCGTGCTGCTGCCTCCAAGCCGCATCAGGCTTTTGTTTCAGCTGTCATTTAGGCCTTAGGTTTAGGGTGTAAGGTGCAGGGTTTAGGCTTGCCTTTAGGGTTCAGGGCTTAAGGTGGTGTTGAAGCTGTTTCAGGGTTTGTTACCATGCTTTAAATGGGCAATCTCATGGTTGCTCCTCAGCAAGAGGGCCTTACATGTCATGTACGACTGCATTACGCAGTATCTCAAATATGCAGTGGCACACCTCGAACTCATGTTTAGACACAGTCTTTGGTTACAGGGATGATTTGGCCTGTCTTACATGCAACTCGCTGGAAGGAAGGCAGGAACGCTGAGAGAACTCTTAGCGGTTGCGCCCCTCCAGCCGCCAGCCCCGAATTCTCGGGCCAGAAAGAAGCTCCTGAAACCCTGGTGGCCACACTGGTGAAACCTCTGAGAAGAAAATGAAAGGGCGTAGCTGCAGGTGGCTTGAACTGAAGCCCTCGAAACCTAAACTATATCTTGTACCTCTACTTGCAACACCATTGCACACAACCCTAAACCCTAAACCCTAAACCCTAAACATAAAGCCTAACCTGAAATCCTACCTGTGACAGCCATGAACCTTCACGTAGGAGTCAGTTCGAGCTCCGGGTTTGCAGATTGAGGATCTACCTTAAGAACCCAAAACCTACTTTTTTGTAGGGTCCCTATAAATGCCATATTAGGGTTTATAATAAGAACCTACAAAAAAGTGGGTTTTGGGTTCTTAAGGTAGGGGCATATGTTCGCAAACAGTTGAAGGCCCTGTTTCCTTCGGCGCCCTACATGTGGGTGGTTGTCAAAATTATGGTCCCTTTTGGGGTACCCTAAATAATAGGTGCCGTATTATAATAAGGACCCAAAAAGGGCCCTAATTTTGACAACCACCCATGTATTGAAGGAAGAAAGATAACTATAGCTATATCTACTTACAGCCCCGAGTAGCGCAATTGCTTACAACCCCTGAATTCCCTGAACCGTAAGTAACCCCACTACACCATCAGCTCCTAACACCAAAAGAAAAAATACCAACCTTCCGTAAGCCCCAAACCTTTGACCAAAACGCCTATCATCCAAAAGTCTACTTAGAGGTTTAGGGGGCTGTATGTACCTTACGAATAATTAGGTATGTGACTATACTGGGCTATACTTACCCTAACTATAAGTGTATATTTCCAAAATTCCATCCACTGATCCTTTCAGTAACGCCCCGCAGGCACGAACAAATCCAAATCCTAAGAACGAACCGTGTCAAGCTGAATTCCCCAGCAGACACCTAACAATAAGGGCACCCTTTTTCCTTCTCTTTGGGTTGAATAAGGGACCCCAAAACCCAAAAGGGCGAATGGGTACTATCCTAAACCCTAAACCCTAAACCCTAAACCCTAAACCCTAAACCCTAAACCCTAAAACTAACCCAAATTGGGGAACCTAGCAAGGAACCCGCAACCTGCCTGACTGGCCCCCGGATCCTTCAAGTATACCCTTACTTAAAGGAAACCAGAGTTGGGTTTAGGGTTTAGGGTTTAGGGTTTAGGGTTTAGGGTTTAGGGTTTAGGGTTTAGGGTTGGAAACTAGAGTTGGGAGTTATAAGGCTTCTATAAGGTTTTCATAAGGTATATAGACCTTCTTTCAGGCTCCTATAACGGTAGCGACCCACCTGAAAATGTCCTACCCTTACGCGCCAAGGCCGGGCGAGCCCGAACCCTTCAACCGAGGACTTGCAACATGAGCTTTGGTCTTACCCTAAACCCTAAACGGCCCTAAACCCTAAACCCTAAACCGTAAACCCTAAACCCTAAACCCCCAAAACCCGAAACCCGAAACTCCTAAACCCTAAACCCCTAAACCCCGAAACCCTAAAACAAACACTCCCAGGAGGCCGAAGATCCCCGAACGCGGAAGCTGAAGCGCCCCTCTCAGCCCCTGAAGGCCCCCCGAAAAAGCCAAAACAAGCGCCCTACTTCTCCAGTTTAGATAGGGGAAACTGTAAAGGTGAACCTTTGGGATTATTTATATATATATATATATGTATATACATATATAAGGGCTTAGGTGTTCAGGGTTTAGGGTGATGTTATATCACACCAAGCCCTAAACCCTAAACCCTAAACCCTAATCCCTATATATATATATATATATAATCCCGAAGGTCTATAGTACCCCGAAAAAGTTAGAGGTTACCTACTCCCCTAAACCCCAAACACTAGACCCTAAACCCTAAACCCTTAAACCCTTAAACCCTAAACCCTGAACCCTAAACCCTAAACCTGAAAACCTGAAACCCTAAACCTTCCAAAGCCTTGAAACCCTAAGCCGGGGACCCCACAGCCCAAGGGTCGAGGTTATCGTAGTTGAGCAGCACATTGCCAGTGGCGGCCTCTTGTCTTGTAGGGAGTTTAGGATTTAGGGTTACAGGTTTAGGGTTTGGGTTTTGGGTTTGGGGCTTAGGAAGTTTAGGGTTTGGGGGTTTTGGTTTACAGATATCTTGATTGAATCTTGATTGAATCTTTTCCTATTAGGTCCATATACACTACCATTATGGAACTAGGTCCCCCCAAGCCGTGAGTTTAATGGTCTTTCGGGGTCTCATTCCACCGTGGTCGTATCTTTGGAACAGGTTTAGGGTTTAGGGTCATCAACGGGTCCCTTGACGGGAATACAAACATTCAGCAGGATTCGTTTTGTACGGTTTGGGGTTGGCAAGGTTGTACAAAGGTTTTGAATCACGGCAGAACACAAATATACTCGTAGCAGGAAACCCTAAACCCTGAACGCTGAGCATTGGATGGTCGTATTGTTGGCTGGTACTTCATTCCCTTATGGGGCTTCAACAAAGAGCCTCGCTCAGCACCAGAAATCACGATACTGCCCTCCAGGTCATGGCATTTATGGGACTCGAAACAAAGCCCTCAACCTCATGACACGCCTGCACAACTGCAAAGAATAGACATGCAGCCGCCCGTTTCCACTCCTCGGGCCTTTACAAAAACCGAAACCAAACAACGAACACATTCCGAGCGGCCTGTGGGCGAGGACTTGTAGGTGGCGTTGACTCACAACCAGTAAAAACCCTAAACCCTGAACCCTAAAAACAGTATCGAAGCCGGAGCCCGCTGCTATAAACTGACCAAGGGAAACCCTAAAACAAGACGAGATCGACTCTTGTGGCCCGTACTAACAAATGCCTTTGCTGGAAAGTGCCGGATTTCTGGGAAGCTTTCAAGCCCCGCCGAAGTTATGGTTTGGGGCTTCGGGGTCAGGGCTGTCTAGCGCCGGGTTTAGGGCGTCGGGTCTGCATTTGGGAGATCCGCAAAGCAAAGAGGTGTCGTCTTTCGGGTTGCAGAGGTATGCCCTACTGCGTGACCAAGTAGCCAACGACTTGGTGCTTGAGATGAGGCTGGTAGTAACGGTTTAGGGTTTAGGGTTTAGGGTTTAGGGTGTGTAGGTTGCGAATGATCGTTGCATAGTTGGACCAGTAAGGTTAAAGGTTTAGAGTTCGGACTTACTGCACAAAATTTGCAACGTAGGTTTGTTGCTCTTAGAAGGCAGGATGCATAGTGGATTGACATTGTGTAGTGTTCGGTTCGCGTACGCCCATGCCCGACACCAAACACACGCGCTTGCATGTAGGGAGAGCTCTGCAGTAGCTTGTTACTGAATGTCCCTATTGCAAACTCCTGCTGGGAAATGTACCTACAAGGATAGCCTGATCGAAATCCTACAAGCAAGGATGCCCCTCGTGACCCTCTAACACCCCTATGTCTGATTCTTTGCAACTCCTACCCGTCTACAAACCCGAAAGCATGTGCTGTGCCTTCCCGAAGGTGAGGAAGCCAAAGGCCATCACAAGGGCCTCGGGTAGATGGATGAAGCACGATTTTCCGAGGGGGGACCACATACAACAATTATCCCCAAACCCTAAACCCGAAGCCATAAACCCAAAACCCTAAACCCTGATTTGGGGGCTGGCATCCCAACCTTGATGTGCTGCATTTTGTACCGTAAGTCAGAGCAACAGGGTGTGTTGTAAGATCAAATACTGTGAAGGGCTGAGGGTTCAAGTAGGCTTATTCAGCGTTTAGGGCTTCAGGGGTTTAGGGTTTTAGGGTTTAGGGTTTAAGGGTTTAGGGTTTTAGGCTTTAGGGTTTTAGGGTTTAGGGTTCAGGGCTTAGGGCTTCTTAGTCAGGGGTCTTGTCTGGCTTTGCAAGGCAAGGCACTTCGACTTGCCGTGTGACTTAAAGCTCCACTGTCCGATAAAGAATACTATAACGGCCCCTTAATAATCAGAATAGAGGTCTTGGGGGTTCCTTATTTCTCATTTATAGTATAATATACCCCCAAATCCTATTCTAATAATTAAGGCCCCCATATTACGCCTCCCATTGGGGTGGGAGTCTTCCGTTCAAAAAGATTTTGGCATCGGAATCCTTCGTTGTGATTCTAGGGCTCTGAGCTTGTGCAACTCTTTCCGGGGTATGTATCACACAAATATATCTGCTCAGGGCTTGCTTTCAGTTTTGAGATCCCTCATTTCCTAGATTTTCCTACAGCTGCTTTATGAACAAGTTCTTGAGTTCAGAGTTTCTGGGTAGAGTCTTCAACAATTCAGTGGCCTTTCGTCTTCCAGGGCTGGGTCCTAAAAGATGCGATGTGTTCGGGTTTGCCGCCTGCTGTAACGATGAGACGCTATAGCCTTCGAGTATTACCTAGAGTCCCCATTGCAGCTCGCTTTCGGCGAATCAAGTTTATGTTCGGGACTCTGAAGTGACAAAGAAGTAACCCACTAGCAGGAATGAACTACAAAACTGCAAGGAAGGGTAATATAGGGGCCTTAATAATTAGAGTAGGGTTTGGGGTGTATAGTATACTATAACTATAATAAGGAGCCCCCACAATAGTATAATTTGTTTAGGCCCCTACATTCTGGGAAGGGCCTCGGGTTGAGGTTTGGGTCCATTTCGATTTCAGGTCCGTCTGATTGTCAGGGTCGGTGAGCACAAGGGGTCATTAGGATCGCGAATAGGGTGCCGTACAATAAGGATACTATAAGACTGCGATAATAAGGGTAGTACGAAAGGTCTCTACAAGGGTATTATTAAGGGCTGTTGGGAACCTACAAAACATCATAATCCCTAAACCCTAAACCCTAAACCCAAAGCCCTGAACCCGATCGTCGGGGCTAGGGGTTAGGGGCTCGGGTTTAGGGTTTAGGGGGCTCTCGCATTCCTCTTGGCCCGCGGCGTACTGAACTGACGCGATGCCAAAGCCTTCACGAAGAGCATGGCTGTTTTGATGTCTTGGTTTCAGGGCTCGTCATGAACGGAAGATGTCAGCACGTCAGAAGTTCCAACCTTACCTTACCTTCCGCGACCCGAAAGCCACCAGCGCAACCCCCAACTCCGATAAACACTAAACCCAAGCCCGGCCTATGACCGCCACTTTCCCGAACTTCTGCAGCTTCTCCTGCGCCAGATAAAATGGTTCCCTGCAGCGTTGCCTCTACTGGCTGCTTGACAGTTTAGGCTTTAGGGTTCAGGGCTTATGGTTTAGGGTTCAGGGTTTAGGGTTTAGTTTTGCGTCAATTTAAGGATTCCTTTTCGGGCTTCCTGCAGGGTTCCGTGAAGGTTCTTTGAGGTGTCCCTTTAGAGGCTTGCCTTTGAGCGCTCAATTTGAGGATTCCTCCAAAGGTTCGTGTTCCTTTACGGGACCCCTTGATGGTTCCCCTAAGTAAGGGTTCCCATACGGAAGCGTTAGACCCCAAACCCTAAAGCACTGGTGTTTTGAATTTGCTGGGTTTGTAAGGGTTCAATCTGGGAGTGTGGGATACGAGTAGGTTGTAAGGGCTGTTGAATGGACGTATGGGGAATTGCAACCGTGTATAGCATGTGAAACATTAGAGAAAAAGGCTTATAAAGACCCTATAAACCCTAAACCCCTATAAACCCTAAAGCCCCTAATCAATAAAACTCTAAACCCTAATCCTTACCGATCCCTAAAAACCCTAAACTCTAAACCCTAAATCCTGACAGATCCCTAAATCCCTAAAGATCCCTGGTAGGTTTGGGAAACCCACGAAATCGTCGTCTGCTCCTTGGCCTCAGCGTCCGAAGCTGGCCTTGGAATGCAAAGACGGCTTAGGGTTTAGGGGTTTGGGGTTCAGGGGTTTTGGGTTCAGGGGTTTAGGGTTTAGGGGTTTTGGGGTTCAGGGGCTTGGGGTTTAGGGGTTTTGGGGTTCAGGGGTTTAGGGCTTAGGGTTTAGGGTTTAGGTAGGGGTTTAGGGGTTTAGGATTTAGGGGTTAGGCTTTGGTGGTTTAGGGTTTAGGGTTTATAGGGGTTTTGGGGTTCAGGGTTCAGGGTTTAGGGGTTTAGGATTTAGGGGTTAGGATTTGGGGGTTTAGGGTTTAGGGTTTAGGGTTTACCTTAAGAACCCAAAACCTACTCTTTTGTAGGGTCCCTATAAATCCCCATATTAGGGTTTATAACAGGAACCTACAAAAAAGAGGGTTTTGGGTTCTTAAGGTAGGGGTTTGAGGTTCAGGGGTTTAGGGCTTAGGGTTCAGGGTTGTGGTTTTTGGGATGTAGGTTTCAGGGTTTTGGGCTTAGGGCTTGGGGCTTCGGATTTTTCTTCTATTTCTGTAAGGTTTCCTTTAAACACACATCTCCTAGAAAGGTGCTATAGCTGTCAATTTTAAGGCTTCCTGTTCTTCGAGGCTTCTCTTTGTCAGGTTCCCTTAAAGGGTACTGCGGGAGTCTCTTTGAAGAGCTCTCTCAGGGTTTACTTGGAGGGTCGGGGGACTTAGTAAACGGTTATTTTATAGACTTATAAGTAGTATAACCCCAATTAGGGTCCCTTTTAGGGTACATATAAGTCACTTATCACCTACTTACTAAGTCTCCCGACCCTCCAAGTAGGGTTTCGGGTCTTGGGGCGTTCGGGGTTTAGGGTTTAGGATCCAGGGTCGCAGGATCTTATGGCATTAGGGTTTACGATTCGGGGTTTAGGGTTTAGGGCTTCATTCAGGGCTTCAGGGGTTTAAACTACATTTAGGGCTTCAGATATTGAGAAAATGACAGGGCCGTATCCCCAAGTCATTGAATTGAATGGAGCCCTTAGTCACTAAGTCGCCAACGCGTTGCAAGGCTGAATGTCGCACCACATCCACTCAATTCCAACATTCGCCCGGCACTGAACGTGAGCAAAGTAGTAGTCAGAGACTCTGTCCAGGTTTGCCCGGACATTCATGCTGCAGCTCAGAGCCAGCTGGCGCTACTGCTGCATCGCGGCGTCGTCGTGCAGGTCTCTGTGCATGGCCATCGACATGGCGTTCACTGGCTCCATTGGCGAGACAACAGGGGAGGTTTGAAAACCCACTCAACACGCTTATCCTTCCGAATCGACTGATCTGTCTGTGTTACTTTTAGCAGGGGAGGCGTCACATGCAAGGACGTCCCTCGCTGGATGCCTGGTACCTTTATCTCTGGCTCAAAACTGCCTTAAACTGACGATCACTGTATTGCAGTCTCTGGGCTAGTAGCCTTACGCCCTCAGTTGCCTCTGCAAATCACCTAGGCCATCCGAGAAAACTCGAAACCCTAAACCTTATAGTGTCTAGGGCTCTTAGGATTCACAGCAGTCAATGCAAGCCCCAATCACTACCGCCTGGAACCGAAACCCTGAAAACTTAAACCCTAAACCCTGAAAGCTTTAAGCCTCAGCAACTAAACCCGAAACCAGACTAACTCCACTAACCCCTACCCATGAAACCCCGAAGAAATACAAACAAGCACTAAACCCTGTGTAAAGCCTGGAGGTGAGACCAAGAAATCCTGAAACAAAGATAGCCTTTACGACCGAAATAGGTTTGTGCGTTTGGGGATATTATAGTAAAGCTTGTCCCTCTGCTAATTAATCCCTAAACCTTCAACCGCCTCAACCCTAAACCCTAAACCGCCTCAACCCTAAACCGCCTAAGCCCTAAACCCTAAACCGCCTAAACCCTAAACCCTAAACCCTCAACCCTAAACCGCCTAAACCTTAAACCCTAAACCTCCTAAACCCTATACCCTGAACCCCAAACCCTAAACCCTAAACCCTCTACCCTAAAACGCCAAAACCCTAAACTCTAAACCCTAAACCCTAAACCCTAAACCGCCAAAACCCTAAACCCTATACCCTAAACCCATATACCCTAAACCCAAAACTCTAATTCGCTTCCGACCTAAAGGTCTGCTCCATCTTCCTGGCTACGCAGTGTAGCCGTCATGGCTCCTACAAGTCTGTAAGGGTCCTTGTGAGAGCATGGGTCCCTTTTCGGGTCCTTTTTATAAGGGTTTAGGGTCTAGGGTTTAGGGTTTAGGGTCTAGGGTTTAGGGTTTAGGGTTTAGGGTTTAGGGTTTACCGTACTAGATTGGGGACCGAAAAAGGAACCTCAATCTAGAGAACTACCCAGGTGCGGTGTTGAGGGGGTCAAGCTTGCATAGCTTGGGCCTTGACCTTGCCCTGTGTACGTCTGTTAAGATTAGGACCAGGACACGGCTGAGTAATATAGGCGCCTTAATAATTAGAATAGGGTGTTGGGGTCCACTAGGGAACCCCCAAAATAGTATAGGTAATTATTTACCCTAAACCTTAAACCCTAAACCCTAAGCCCTAAACCCTAAACCCTACATCTAGCCCTAAGCCTTATTTAGGCCCATACATCAGCACTTCGAGGACTGTTACATGCTAAACCCTAAACCCTAAACGAATCAAGAAGCTCGCGGTGGCGGCCGTATGGCGTCATCTCGGGCCCTCGCCGAGTTATCCCCTACGAGCCGCAACAGGGTTTGGGGTTTAGGGTTTAGGGTTTAGGGTCTAGGGTCTGGGGTTTCGGGTTTCGGGTTGCTCCCAAAACTCCAAGGACCAAACCTCTACTACCCCAAAACCCTGCGGCAGAGTATAGAGGCATTGATAATTAGAATAGGGTTTTTGGGGGGTCCTT